TTGGAAGTGGCAGAGATTCTTCTACAGGAGAATTACTCAAAAAATTAATTTCAATTATTGAAATCTTCCAAAGCAGCTAACTAAATCTTCTCCTGGAGTGATTGTCGCGGATCTATGTACTGGCTTAACGGGGAGATGGTGACGATGAACCGCCTTCCTCCTAAGATCCAATCACTGCAGATGTCGTCACGATCGAAACCCTAAACCCAGACGTAGTGAGCCAGAGAGAGAGAATAAGGAGGAGCGAAGAAGAAAATATCAGAAAACCCTAGTCAAAACAATGGCTTAGCTTCTCCAGTACGCTAGCTTCTCCAGTACGCTCTCCCTTGTATCGATCACTATTTTTTACTGTAGCTTTGTATATAGAAAGATTTATGTAGTCTTTAAATATGTACTTTGTATATTTTATTCTCTATTTTTATACAAATCTTTGAATAAAATGAACTAAAAAAATGAGATTTTCTTTTGTTTTGTGCAACTTGTAATCTATTTTGGGAAGAAGTGAATATTATTTTGGACGACATGATCTTGAAAAGAAAAATATGGTTAAATTATACTCCCTCCGTTCCATTTCATAACGTTTATTTCGGTTTACGATGTTTGACTGAAATTATTTTCAAATCATTTTATATGACAAATGGTATATAGTTAACAAATAAAAATTACATATTAAAATAATACATCAAAAGATCTATAAAACTAGTAGTAACAATAATATTTTATTCTATCAAATTGCTAGCGAAAATAGAGAAAGAAAGTAAGTGAAGTTTGACCCTGTAAATAGTAAACATGCATTATAATTTGGGACGGAGAGAGTGGTATTTTGAAATGGACCATTTAATTTTCAAAATGATACAGGATTTATTGTTCTTATCAAAATATATTTAAACTATTAAATAGTTATGATGATACATGTTTCCAATACTTGTACAGGAATTTGACAAGTGAAAGATTATTATACTATACATATAATTACAATACGAAAATAGATTAATGTTAAGTGATACATAGATTGGTATCTCGAAAAGTTGAAAGAAATACTCCGTAAAAATTATGATTTTTGCAACTTTTGTTTAAGCTCAAACTGAACCAATTTCTTATATTCAAAATTGAGACCGATTTGAAGATATTAAGCCTTAGTCTAGTTCTAAAATAATTTTTGATTACTTTGAGAAAAATTTATTTTCCTGCATTTAGTTTTCGTCTTTATTCCCTAGAAAATACGGAGTAATTTTTTGAATTTTTTTTTTAATCAAAGAGATTCTAACACTATGTCCGGTTCAAGAAATTTGAGAAGGAAAGGAAAAGAAAATAAAAAAGAAAATATTTTTCTTGTTTTGTTAGAGAGAAAAAGAAAAAAAAAGTAAAAGAAGCAAACTGTACATAAAGAAGAGAATGAAATTCCTTCCATTTTAGTGAGGAAAATGAAAGATTTTTTTTTCAAATTACATGAACCAAACATATTGTAAATCTTCAATCATTTTAACTTGATTCACTTCTAGTACTCCGCAATAAGGTGGAACGCCCACCTTGGGTACCCATGCACCCCGACCCGATAGGATTGTGAATGGAGTAAATTATAGTATAATCTCAATCAGGTTCTTAGAGAGGCCGTCTCGTGCTAGATACTATTACAAATAATAAAATTTTGATTGATTGACTACCCATGCGGGTTTCATACTCAGTAATATACTCCATTCGTTCCAGAGTATTTGTCCACTTTTATTTTTACACACCATCCAATGCATTTATTTAATCCATTTTATCTTGTAATTTGTATATTAAAAAATTATAGAAATTATATATTAATAATCTATATGTTAAAGAAATCAAACAAGATCACACATAACTATATTTAGGCTTACACATTGAGAGAATTTGATAAGTCAAAGTGTTTGGATGAACAGTTCTAAAAGTCAAAAATGGACAAAAACTGGGGGACGGAGGAAATAAGAAAATTACCCAAAGGCTTGAAGAAAACTTTCTTTTTGGCATTCCTTCTCAAAATATTCCATCCTAAAGAATCAGAAACTCTCCCACCAGCTTCAAAGGCAATCGCCGCAATTCCGATCTCGAATTCAAAGCCTTTGATCTCGCGTCTCTGCATTCGAGAGATGGACAAAGTGATGAACATATTGAAGCCGAAACCCAATCCTTCACAAATCTTGAGGGATTGGCAGCGTCGTCTTCGCCAAGAGTGTCGCAGCATCGACCGCCAAATCCGAGGTAACTTTTCTCTGCAGTTCCGCCATTGTTTTTCTCCAAGTGCATAGCCGCAGCTTTGTTCCGATCTGATTGTAGGGTTTGATCAGATATACAGAGGGAAGAGAATAATGTACAGAAAGCAATCAGAGAAGCTGCAAAGAGAAATGATATGGGTTCTGCTAAGGTACTCCCACGTTCTCAGCTTACTTTTACACGAGATTGGAATTGAAGCTTTTTGCTTATTTTTATGATTATTATGCAGTATACCCAGAGTCTTCGTTTAATGTTAATGATCCCGGATCCAATTGGATTGGGGGGGATTCTTTAGTTTAAGATTTGTTCGTATTTCAGCGTAGTTATTACAGACGGTGAAAATGAGTTTTGGAATTCGCAATTGGAATTCCAATCTCTTGTATTGTTAGCTCCTTCATGGACAGCTGAATGAGTCTCCTTTTGTTTACCCAGTTTTTTCCCTCTAACTAATGATTATCATCTCAGGCACTTGCTAAAGAAATTGTGAGATCTAGAAAAACTGTGAACAGGCTGCATGAGAATAAAGCACAGCTTAATTCTATATCTCTGCAACTCGGAGAAAGTGTTGGTATGAATTTACTACAGAAACTAAGTTGGTATTGACTGTCCTATTATCTTCCCTTTCTGCCCGACCGGGGTGGTGGGGGGGGGGGGTTGCAGTTTTTTAGAAACATGTATACCTTTATAGGTATGGATAAGGTCGGTGTACACCCGCTTGTAGGATTCTACTTTGTTATTTTAATTCTTTTGGTGGGACTGTGTGGTCCACCTCTACGCCTTTGTGGAGCATATTATACTGCAATGGACACCTTTGCACTAATATGATTTATGTATAAATGTGGCATGGATTTTAGATTTAACAAGTTGTTTATTGTAGTGATTTCATAAAATTACTTGTATTATTCTATCTTTGTTCTATTATGCAGCCGTTGCCAGGACAGTGGGCCATTTGTCTAAGAGTGCTGAGGTTATGAAACTTGTGAATAATCTAATGAAGGCGCCAGAAGTGGCTCGTACAATGCAAGAGTTTAGTAAAGAGATGACAAAGGTGCATTTTGCTATTAATATGCATAGTTTCCTCTTCATTGTTAGTCTTAGTTGGGAAATCAATTTGTGTCATTGTGAGACGTCTTCAGTTCCTGTTGTCCATATGTATGTTATTGAGCTTATTCAGGAAAAAGATCATTTTTTTCTTGTCATTTTAACTTTATCTAGATTCTAGAATGACAATTGCCCCTCAGTTTTTAAATAGAATGAAGTTAGAGGGAAAATATAGTTCAATGGTATATTTGCACCCAAAAAATGTTAAGAGACACGATGCACCTCGGGGTAAACCACAAGTGGCTATTTCCATGTTTCCTATAATGTTTTGGAGAACATTACCAAATGGACCCTAAACAGATCACACGCATATACTTTTAGTTGTGAATGATTCATGTGTCAAATGACTATCACTTTATGACCATGTGATTTCATATCCCTTTGCCCCTATCCACCATTCTAATCTTAAAAGGTTCTGTCATTAGTTATTTGTTTGACTAGATATTTTGATAGAACTTTCCTTCCATTTTGCATCGTTTCTTCTATAATATTTCAATTACTGCAGGATGTATGTGGCAATACAAGTTAACAAAGAATCTAGAAATTAGATAGTAATGGGCTTTACAATCTTGAATTGCAGGCTGGTGTGATTGAAGAGATGGTGAATGATTCCCTTGACGATGCACTGGATTCCGAAGACATAGAAGAGGAAACTGAAGAAGAAATAGACAAAGTCTTGACAGCCATCGCCGGAGAGACTGCTGCGGCACTTCCAGTTGCTGCCAGGAAGGAAAAGTTAAAGCAGTCGGTGGAAGATGCAGAGGTAGGTTCAAGCTATGTTTCTTCAAAATCTTTTAGAGTCTTACATATATTCTCTCTTGCAAATGAAGTAAGTCGTTGCTTATTTGTCACTCTCTAACAGGGTGGCGACGATGAGGAAGAGTTGGAAGAACTAAGAGCGCGCCTTGACAAAGTTCGTTCTTAAATTTCACCGAGTCTTTCTTGACGTGATCATATCCTTCCCATGCATAAAATAGTGTTTGTATAATAGATATACCGCCTCATTTGAATTCGTGAAAATCTGCAATTTAAGTATATCAAATATACATTACTATGTTTTCTGCCTGCTTTTGATTGGTCCATAACAGGCCTGACTTCTATTGTATCCAAAAGCTACAGTGGGTGCTTATATTATGTACATATTTCCACGACAGGTGTTCTTCCTATACTTTATTCTCATACTTCATACATAGCATAGTAATAAAATGAACTAATGATTCTACATACCACACTAAGACTACTTCCCCTGATGCTCTTTTATTTATTCTGAAAATGTCTTTAACAGTATTTCTTATTTAGTTATCCCTCTGTCCAGAAATTCTTTATGGCTGTATGGAAATTTTCTTCCCATTTCTATATCTAGCATTCTTTTTAACGCAAAATGTCAATAAACCTTACACCCACCCAACCCCCAACCCACCTTGATTTACTCCCGCACCCAACCCCACCTTCATAGACGATAGTGTCTCTTATTCCGTCATTCACTCTCTGGATCTACATCTTCTTCTTCATCCTTTAGTCTTTTCCTCTGCAGAGGAGCGACTTAGATCTGGATTTTTT